TTTTTTTTTTTTTTTTTTTTTTTTTTGGTACCGAGGATTGAACTTGGGTCCTTGTGAGGCAGGCGGTGGAACCACTGAGCTAAATCCACGGCCCTTTTTTCTTTCTTTTTTTAAAAATTCTCTCTCTTTCATTAAAGAAACTGTATAGAAAATATGCACCTTACTGATAGGCCAACATAAGGAACTGGAACATTTTGGGCTACAAACTAAGAGAGTTTCTTGAGAATTCACCCAAGATGATATTTTTAAAATAGCCTCAATTATTCTGTATTCCTAATGAGTGAATAACAAAAAGACTAGATTTAATCTGGGATGAGACGAATTCAGTGCAGGCCAGAATCTCTTTTCTCTTAAAGATGCACTGGGCATCCTGTAATGGGCAGTGCTAAGGTGGTAGCAGAAGGTTGCCTTAATAAAATGCAGGGGTCAGGGTGGAACAGAGGTAGAAAAGAACAACACTCGTGCTGGAAACATACCAGGACATGACATACCAGGACTGAGATAAGAGTAGGCTCTGCTACCACTGAGGATTGAGTGTCCTTTGTCAGGAATGTTAGAGGCTGATAATTCTTGTTTCATACACCAGGATGGAGTTGTTACAAATGAGAAATTCAATAGTGATATGAAAGATGAAGTTGAAAACACCATGCCAATGTTAGTTATTGAAACACTATTACAATCTCCTTTAGGAGATGAAGACTGAGAGAAGACAGCAGGCTAAATTTAAAAGCTGTTCTTTTTTTATCTGTATTACCTTTGGAAATTAAATCCCACATATCTAACTAGAAAAGGTGAACTACAAGTTAGTCTTTTAAAAAAACGCATCTTAAAATTATCCTAATTATAACAACAGCCAAAATGTCTCCAGGTCTTAGATCCTTTTAGAAAATACCCTTGTGCCAGGTGTGGCACACACCTGTAATCCCAGCACTCTGGGAGGCTGAGAGAGGACATCCCAAGTTTAAGTCCAACCTAGGCAACTTAGTGAGACCCTGTCAGTGACCCCTACAGCTCAGTGTGAAGGCCCTGGGTTCAATCCTCAGCACTACGAGGGGAAAAAAAACACAAGAAAGGGAAAATACCCTTGCAATATCTATCAGCTCCTCTCTTTGTCAATTCACATACTTGATGTGGCCTGATCCCGAAGTAGTCAGTTGCTCTTCATCTTCAGGATTGAAAGTAACCTTAAAAACCTCCTGAGAAAAAGCTTTAGTCCTCAGTGTGGGTTGCTCTTCTTTCCAATTCCAAATAGTCAGTGTGTAATCAGGGTGGCTACCAACAGAGGCCAACAAGGTACCGATGTAGTTAAAGTCCACATAAGTATATGCTGTCTCAGTCCCATCTGCAAGAATGTACAAGAGTTTAATAAATGAGGGCAACATTTATTTCATTGTGTATGGGGGGGTATGTAAGAATGACAAAAATTCCATACTCCTTTAGAGAGAAATTCCCAAATCATTCCTCACCCTTGGCTTCAGAATAGATTACATCATATAAAGGGAGAAGGTAAAAAAGTCATATTCACATTTTACATGAGAAAAAGCACCTGGTAAACATATTTTGTTGTATGAAGGAGGAGAAACAGAAATACAAAAGCATGTTATATAGGTTACGAAAATTTGTCACCAAAAAACTCAAAAACCAAAAATTGACTACTGAAATTAACTACATTAAAAACAGAATTATAAGATATTTGGTGATGGTTAATTTTGTGTATCAACTTGCTAAACAGTAATCTAGATGGCTAAATAATAATAATCTAAATGTTACTGTGAAGGTGTCTTGCTTATGTACCTAAGACCTAGTCAGGTGACTTTCAAGCGATTATCCTTAATGATCTAGGGGAATCTCACCCAATCATATGAAAAGTCTTCAAAGTAAAACTGAGGATTCCATGAGGAAGAAGAAAATCTTCTCCAACGCCACATCCTTAACTCCCTCCCCTAAAATTTCCAGCCTGCAGCCCTGACCTATAAATTTTGAACTTACCAGTCTCCAAAATTATGTAAACCAATTCCATTGAATAAATCTCTTTTACATTTCCTACTAGTTCTGTTTCTCTGTAGAATCCTGATTAATTCAATACTCTTACATCTTCTTCAGAATGCTGTGAATCTTGAACATGGTATATTTTAAAGACTCTATTAGACTCACCTCGGAGGATTCTGTAGGGCTTCAAAGAAGGGTATTCATAGATGATAATCTTTGGAAAACTTCCTTTTTCAGCTACTGTGAAGTAAGTTTTATGTGGATGAACCTATAAAAAATGGAATCTCTCTAAAATATTAAAGGGAAGATTTCTATATAATCTTACTAATACATTAGTAATTTTTTTAAAAAATTGGTTAATTAGGATCTATTTCAATAGAAACCTCAAAAAAAAGGCCATGTGAAAAACATTTGATGATGGATATGATTTGACTCAGAAGCCAAAAGAAAGTAAAACTTTAAGGTTTATTTTCATTATGACAGTCATTGCTAATTCTAAAATAATTGAAATTCCCTGTAGAGAGCTAAAATGATGGCTCTCAATCTTTAGTGTCCATCAGAATAATTTAAAAGGCTTATTAAAACACAGAGCATAAGCCCTACCTTCATAGTTTCTGATTTAGTATATCAAGGCTGGAACTTCACATGTCTAAGAAATTTAAAGATGATGTCAATGTTGCTGGCCTAGGGATTAAACTTGAGAACCACTAAATTGGATGAACTGCTTGCCTTGTATATAAACCAACCTAAATTCTGCATAGAACATTCATGGAATTTATTTGTCTTGGTCCACTTTCTGCTTCTATAGCAAAATCCTTAAGACTGGGTAACTTATAATGAATAGAAATTTATTTGGCTTATGATTCTGGAGGCTGGAAAACCCAAGATTAAGAGACCACGTCCATCAAGAGCCTTTGTGTTACATCTTCTCATGAGGGACGGTGGAAGGGCAAGAGAATGAGAGCAAGAAAGCAAGAGGGAGACAAATTCATTTGTATAGCAACCCACTTTCATTATAACTAAGCACTTCCCCCATAATATCAGTGCATTCAAGCCCTCATCACAACTTCTTAGGCCCCATCTCCCAGCGCTGTTGTATTAGGAATTAGGTTTCCAATGCATAAAGTGTGTGGGGAGACAAAGTCAAACCTTAGCAGTATGGAATTCATGTTTCCAGAGACTATAACTCAATTTTTAAAAATTATCTTGAACAAACATATCACAAATGACTGTAAACTTAATAGAGGTGAGAAAGATACAATATTTCCAAGCCAGATACAGAGAAAAATATAATAAATATTCCCTGGATATTTATGTCAGCATTTTAAAGAATAGCCCTATAAATTGGACAGGATTATATGCTCATTTCTTTTATTTTTGTTTACTGGGAAAGCCAACTGTAAAAGAAGAATAAATAGCAAAAACATATAGGGAGAAGTAAAAGTAGGTTGTTACAAGAGTAAACTATTGGGTCAGGGTCTAGCTCAGTGGCACCACACCTGCCTGGGAAGTGCAAGGTCCTGAGTTTGGTTCCCAGTACCAGAAAAGAAAGAAAAAGCTATTTAAAATACATAGTCCTTTAGAAATAATATAACTGTACTCCTAGCAACTAAACTTGTTACTGTCCTAGGTAACCAATGAAGTAGCAAACGGAAGTAAGAAATAGTAAACTCCAAGGAGGTTGGGGAAACGGATTAACACTGCACCTGCCTAGATCCCAATTTACAAAAAAATATTGTATAAGCTATGTGGTGACAGGTATCTGAATGGAGAGTCAGGTATATCCTTTACCATTTCAGGTCTTGTCTACAGTAAGTAAAAAAGTTTCTGCTCCTCAGAGTGGAAGTTGCTGTGAGGTTGAGTTTGGGTGTTCAGTTTTTAGTGGAAATCTGGAGTTAGGAAGTCATTAACTTGACATTCAACAAATAAATTCTGTCTTTTCTGGAAGACATTATATATGCTCAAAACACATTTCTCACAGATTTCTTAGAGCCTTGCAAAAGCATTTCTCATTCTCACTTGGACAGCTGCTGCAGAAAAGACAAGGCGCTGTGCACAGCAGAGCTGAGGCCTCCGTCACTGTCCAGGCAGCACCTCCAGGACATACAGCTAAAATTCCTTGTGGACATGAAGATGCTCAGCATTCAGATGGCTGAGGATTAGGGTTAGCAACCTGGCCACGCCACACCTCTGCCTATTGTCCCCATACCATATTATTTTATAACAAAATAGAAAGAGACTATTAATGGCCACAGCATGAGAAATGAATATGTGGTCTTTAGATGTCTCTTAGGCCTCTGCAGATGGTGTGGACATCAGGCTCATAATACCACACAACTTCCGAATGCTTTCACTCCACAAAACTCATGATCTCATATTGGGCCATAGCTTTTGCATATAGTTACTGACACATAATCATGTACTTACATTTCTAAGTTTTTAGAACTGTTTTCTCTTTATGTGGGTTTTAAACTCTTTGAATTTATACAGGTCACGAATTCTTTCTTTAAATCCTCCAGTGTGTATTCAACATGGTGTTAGCTGAATAATACTATATAATAAACTCTTGCTAAGTTTAATAGCTTTTGTTGTTGTTGTTGTTATTTTTGTTTGTTTGCTTTTTTGAGACAGGGTCTCACTATGTAGTTGAGACTGACCTAGAACTCACTATGTAGCCCAGGCTGGCCTCAAACTCATGGTGATCCTCCTGCCTCAGCCTCCCGAGTGCTGGGATCATAGGCGTGCGCCACCATGCCCGGGCAAAGCTTAAGAGCTTTTCAAAAATCCCTGAGGACAGGGCCTTTTATCGTGTACACATGCCATACATAGATAGATGATCAAGAAAAAAAAAACAAAACATGAGATTATCTTTCCACTCCACACACCTCACAATATTCTGTTTGCAGTCAGTGTATCTCTATGTCCCCTCTGTGGGTCTCATTTTCCTCACCGTCTCCCTTTCCATTGCCATGTGCCTGCTTCAGTACTCAAAAATCACGTACTTCTACTTCTAATCTGAATGCGAAACAACACGCACAACTATGGACAAGTCGTTGAGCCTCTAAAACCCTCATTTCTTTATCTGCAAAACGGGACGATAATAATAATACTAACGTATGCTCTAATGGATGAAGGCAGTGTCTGTGAAGATAGTTAGAATAACGGAATAGAAAATGCCTGAGGTGATGGCTCCGTGCCCCTTATGTGACCCCGCAAGATTCTGCACCTAACAATCACTCACTGATGCTTGGCCCACAGAATACAGAAGCCTTTCTTTTTTCTGTTACGATAGGCATACCCCAATGGCACCAATTCCTTCACCACTGCTACTTCGCAGGTAGATTTGTTCCTTGGTTTTAAAATTCAGAAGGACCAGCTGGTTCCCAGCGATGTATATTAAGGTACTGCTGTCTAGAAGTTGTAGGTTGGCTCGCTTTCTACAATCATAACCAAAAGAATGTCTGAGGGAAGGTTGTTAAGGAAAAGAAGGGAAGCAAAATCACCATTTTAGGGATAGGAAAACTGATGAAATAAAGATACTTTAAAAATCCACATTCTTGAAGATTCAAGGTTGAAGTAGTTGAATTTTACCCTAAAATTCATTTTTTCTAGGTGTTACTAGCACCTTTTTATTTTTAAATTAACTGAAAATCTTCATACACTAATTCGGTTACTATTTTAATTATCCTAAAGAAATTGCTTTTGTAATAACAATGTTAAGCCTTCTATTTGGGTATCATAGAACAAAGCTGTCATTTAAGTAATTTTTTTCTCTCCCCATAAAACTAAATCATTTTGTATAAAAGTAGTTTTTTGATTGATTATATAATATTATATAGACCTCTTTCTTGATGCTGAAAGAAAAAGAAGTTTAAAATTCTGACAGCTGTGAAATTCTAACTCACCATTTATTTGTTTTTGTTTTTTTTTTGGTACCGGGGATTGAACTCAGGTCCTTGCGCTTGCGAGGCAGGCCACCGAACCACTGAGCTAAATCCCCGGCCCTCTAACTCACCATTTAATAACCATTGTGATAAGTTAACAAATGTAATTGAACTTTAATCCAAACAAATTATGAAAATTGACTAAATATATGATATATAAATATATATAATTAATAAGTTTAATATTTTCTTCCAAGTTGTCAGCAAGTGCACTGATACACAGGCAAGTATATGTGGGTAAGTTTATATTATAGAGTAAAACTGCACTAATTCAAAAACAAGTTTTCAAAAATCTGAGTTATATAAATACTTTGCAATGTATATTCAGGTTCAAATTAATAAAAACTATCAATGTAATAGGTAAACTTAATTAGATGAATCTATGAAAAAATAGAATTGGCAAAAGAAATATAATACATAGCAATTTGTTTTACACAAAAGTTGAAGGACCACTGGAGAAATCTTCTTCTTCTTTTTCTTTTGGTACCAGGGATCAAACTCGGGTCCTTGCACTTGAGAGGCAGGTGGCGGAACCACTGAGCTACATCCCTGGCCCTTCACCCCTTGTTTTTAAAAAAAAGTGATTTTAGAAGGTTCACTTATTTGTAAGGAAATACAATTTTCAAGGAAAGAAATTATGTGGAATTTTTAACACCTAGTATATGTACAATGTAAAAAACAATATCTTCATTAGTGTTACAAATACTTAACTCTACCCTTGAAAGTAATGACAGCCTCAAACAAACTGTAAATGAATGAATGTGGCTGTGCTGCAATAATTTATTTACAAAACTAGGCTGAGGTCCTGATTTGCTTCACAGGCTGTAGTTTGCCGACCCTCTGACCTAAGAAATGAAAATCCCCAAATTATGCATTGTAGCCAGAGTGGATACACGAAGTCAAGAAAATTCAGAGGTATGCTAGAATCTGGTGTCACAAAAGGCTTTGAAGCAAGCTCCGTGTAATTATAGAAGAACGACTCCGATATTTTCTTCTTAACTTCCTCTTCTGCCTCTTCTGCAGCTGGGGGAGGGGGTTCCTGAGATGCTAAAATATTAAAAAATATTGACAAGAAGACTATTTGATGAATCCTAAAATTGTATATCCCAAAGACAGGGGGAATAGACATAACACACAATATACTAGCAGTAAATATTACTATCGATCCAACCATGAGAAGCTAGCTATTAATGGGCATAGGAGGGACCACCAACATGCTATGCTCTGGTCATGATTTCTTTCTTTTTTTTTTTTTCAGAACTGGGGATCGAACTCAGGATCTTGTGCTTACAAGGCAGGCAGCAGAACCACTGAGCTAAATCCCCGGCCCCTCTGGTCATGATTTCAACAGTCTCCAAGAGCAACTCCTAATTAGTTACAAGGAAGAGTTGGAGAACTAACCTGGGGTAGAACATTCTTTAGGTCATCTCGATTCCCTGAATATTAGGTATGAGAGTTCAATATGTGATCCTCAGAAACAGAAACTATAACTTTCTCTAGATTTGCAACTGTTCAATTTGTCTCATCAATATGGCAATAGAAAGATATCAATACTTACTTTTAGTGCTTTCTGAATGGTCATATTCAGATGAACCTGAACTTTCTTCTACATCTCCCAGATCTAAACCTTCTTCCTCTGGATATGACTCTTCCCCTTCAGTAATTGTTTCATCTGTGGTATCTTCTAAAACTTCTTTTGTATGAACTATTAAAAATAATCTATTTTAATAATTCTACATTTCAATTAACATTTTCTTATTTCCAAGGTAGCCAAATTTCCAATTTGTTTATGCTCTAAATTTTCATGTTCAGAAATTCTTGGGAGAATCACTTTATTTGATCAGTCTTATAACTTCTCCATTTTAACTTCATTTCCAGTCTATTTCTTATCATTACATAGTTATGTACAAGAAAGTAAAAGAAAAGGAAAAACAAGTAGTCAATATGTTGCTATCATAATTTCAATTCAATTGATTTTGCTAACATTTATAAAGAAACTGTTATGTTAAAGACAAATAATGCTATTCAAGAGTAATTTTCTATGAGTATGATTACTTCTCTCCGAAGTGATATCCCAGGAATAATTTAGAGTACTGGTTTTAAGAGAAACTAAAATGAAAGACAATTGGGGTGGGCCTAGAAGTGGTCCCAGGTGTAAGGCAACATTCAGATCATATTCAAACGTGGGCATGGTTAAATATACAATTTGAGCAGGTGAAAGGACTGGGGGGGGCACTCTCAGAAGAAGATACCCCGCATCACAAAACAAGACAAGCCAGCATTTTTGTCTTATGTTCTAAGGTTTTATGTGTGAGCTTCTTCCACTTGTCCTTCTCTCTAGCCAATGAAAACAGGAAGCTGTGGGACATCTCTGCAGATACCACAGAGACAGACTGTCTTCGCCAAAACCAGTTTGCACCTGGGATTCCCCACTCACCCTCACCTTCTCTATGGGAGTAGGAGCACAACAAGGAAGCCTACCAATTACATGACTGCGCACAAAGAAAATCCATGCGAGCTGCCCGGAATTTACAATAATTTAAAAAATCATTCAACATGGTTACTGCATCCAACAACAATATACAAATATTAATAGTAGGGACTTCTCCTTTTGGCCTCTAGGCAGTAACTAGTACTCAACAGCTCTCTTATTATGACTGTGGAATTTTTTGGTTTTCCTTTAATTCTCTTTATTTTTGCTTCTTTTTGTGATGATCTGTTATTAGGTGCATACATATTTATGACTGTTACGTCTTCCTAATAAGCCAATCCATTTCTCATTATGAAATGCCCCTTTTGTCACTGGTAATACTGTCTTGCCTCAATCTATGTTATTGGTTGCCTTATAGCTACTCAGCCTTCTTGGGCCTACCACATGTATGATCGACTTCTTCGCACACCAGGTTAGAGGCTGTTCAGAATGCCAGCTAGTTACTTCACACATTATCAACTAGGATCCTAATACCCAAGAGGTATGCCTTAATTAACGAGCTGAGCACAGGACCAGGCCACACTTGGTAAGACCTGTGTCAAAGAGAGTCTGACACAAGGAAGTAAGGTCCCGGGGCAGCACTAACCAAAGTGCAATAATCATTAACTCCATTCATGGAAGGCAGAGAGCAGAGCCCAGGAAATCTCTGCCAAGAACTAGAAGCCAAAAAAGTAGATAATGGTGTATCAAAAAAGTAGAGTAAAGTAAAAATGGAAAAACAAAGGTGAGGGCAAACTATAGTTTTTTAGGCAAGTGATATAATTGTAGTTTGTTTAAAAAGGCAACTCTAATAGTGGTATAGAGATCCAGAGAGGGAGACTTAAGTATAAATCCTTATAAAAGTCCAAGGAAGAGAAGATAAATGCCTAAAATAAAACACAATGTGAAAAATTATGTATTTACAAGACACGTTTGAGACAGATTAAAAGAATTTAATGCAAACTTCGTATCAATGCAAATGCAAATCGATTTTTTCCAGGACCCAATCTTTGGGCAAAAAGTCAAAAATAAACTTCTAAAACCTGAGAAAAAGTTGAGTTTGAGATCAGAACCTGAAAAAAAGTAAAGATTCCACTAAGATCTACCACTATGGTGGCCAGTCAGAAAGAACAGCCATCCTTTTAAAAAGTACTAATTACAAAATTTCTTACTTATTATTTTATAGCCTGTGAAGTCCTTCCACATGTAACCCAGTTTAACTCCCAACTTACAGTTGTCCCTGAAGAGGATAAGAAAATTGAGGCTGAGCAAAGTACAGTAATTTCTCCAAGGTCAAGCATTACTAAATGGGAGACCCAGCACTCAAAACTGAAGAGCAGCACTTCCCACTAAAATGTTTCAGAAGTGTCTATTAGAATTTTACAGCTCAGGTTGTAGCTCAGTTGGTAGAGCATTTGCCTGGCATTTAAAAGGCCCTAGGTTCAATCCCTAGTACTACAGAAGAGAAAAACACAGACAGAGAAAACCAAGATTAGATCTGCGAACAGATCATTATCAATACAGAGAGGATGGTAAATTCTAGCTGCCAGCTGGAGATAAGCAATTAAAGCATAGACTCTGCTCTAAGCAACTTAGAATTTTGTAAGAGAATTAAACAAGTAAGCCATTTCTGTTCTACAAATTCTGATATGCCCACTTTAAAATTATTTTATCGAAATTTAATAATAAAATATAGAGTATCAGCTTTGCTTACATTTTGACTCAGATTTAGAAGACTGCTTCCCATCACTCTTTGATCGGTCTGATTTCCCCCCATCGGTGTCCTGATCATCTGGTTCTTTCATGTCTTCTGTAAGTCAAAAGTGAGAGAGAGAGAGCAGTGCTATAAAATAGGTATTAACAGCCCCCACAACAAACTTCATGAGCACCAAACACCCACATGTGTTGATAAAGCTATGTTTGCATGGCATCCATGGTGACCCACCAGCAGGAGGGTGCAGTCACCAACAAGGCTTCTGAAATTCACACTGTAATCACAGACTCATTGCCCAGGCAAACTTGGCACCGTTGTGCACTCCGGTTTCCCAGACATCCACAGAGGAGCACACCATACAAGTCTTTCTCCCAAGTGCTCAACCACTAAAATTAAACCTCTGCCACCCATCCTTTGGTTCATTCCTCCCTCTTTCTCTTCCCATTATCAAATTTAACTGGTGCTACTAATCAATTTATATTTAAAAAAAATCTGTGGAGCACACCTAGTAAGTATGTAACAAGATTATGTTAGGCACTAAATTACCATACTGAACAAGAGAGCTATGGCTCCAAATTTTAAAGAAAAATATATAAAAATATATATATTTTATATATATATTCTACAAAACTAAAAATAATGTATGTAACAGGTTATTTTTGGGTTTTAGGAAAGAGGTGTTTGAGATACACTTAATAATTTGGACATGGGCAGGCACAGAATGGAAAAAAGTAAGCTAGGGCTGGTGGTACACACCTGAAATTGCAGTACTATGGAAGGCTGAGGCAGGAGAATCCCTAGTTTGAGCCCAGTCTGGAAAAATTAGCAATTTAGCAAAATCCTGTTTTAAAAAAGAAAAAAGATGAGGATGTAGTTCAGTGAAAAAGCTCTGAATTCAATTCCCAGCGCCCTCTCACCAAATAAAAAGAATGAATCTACTGATGAATGTAGCAACTTTATAACCCAGTCATGTACATAGCACCACGGAAGAGTTCTAAGTTGGGACTGATGTGACAGGTTTTCTCTTCTCTTCCCCACATTGCAGCTTTTCTTGTCCTTACTTGAAAATATCAATCATATCATCCAAGTCTCTACTTCTGCACACTAACCACACCATGTTCACACCACATTCTTCTACAGCACGATTAGCACACGGAAGAGAATAACAGTTTTATCTGTATCAGAGGTGTGATTAGATTCCAGTTTGAATTCCAGTATCACAACATAACTAGTTCGTTGTAAATCTGTGTACCAGTTCCTCAGTGGTAAGGAACAAGATACACAATGCTGCTAAGACGATTCAAGAACCAGCACTGCATTGTTATACTTTCCTTGTCTCTGAAGGTAGACCAGTGTGCCAAAAGCAGGTCTGATGTGTCTACCGCATGATGTGATTGGTGCAGCACAATTAACTCCCTTCGGCTGGGCATTAGGGCTCTCTGCATCTATTTTCTTACAGCGACACTATAATGATGTCTTCTCTTGATTTGGTAGGCAGTAGTACCTTGCTAAACCTTCTTCCTATAAACACACTCAAGAAATGCAGGCCCTAACATGATGCCCATAGCACTAAGTTTTGTGTGTAGTACCTGGAGTCAATTTCTGTTACAAAGACAACCTTTAAAAAAAAAGTGTGTGTGCTTCCTTTTTCTAGTTGTCCCTTTCTTCCGATTCTTCTCTTCTTCCTTCCCTTGTCCTCTTCCATCCAATTGTAGAATATTTGCCCCCCCCAACCAGGCTTAGGGGTAGGAGTAGCAATCAAATGACAGAAACATTTTAGTAGCAAGATCTTTGAAAATCCAAATTCTATCATCCAGTCTATTTCCTACTCCTATTTGTGGAAACCAACACTTACTTTTTATGCTTATAGCAAGTAATCAATTTTAACAGAGAATCGCAGAAGACAGTTTCGATTTTTGCAGGGCTTAGATGCAAATAATCACACACTATGAATAAAATTGTCTGGATTAATGATAAATATACATAAATGCTATTTTCTCCCTTAATTTCAAGGTTCTTCATAATTTAAGTTGATTCAGTTCTTAAAACTATTGAGTAAATTTATAAACAAACTATATTATACTTTGCATTGCTTCAGATACAAAGATGAGTAATATATAACCTCTGGCCTTTGTATTTCAAGAAGAAATGGGCAATTCTCTCAATATAACCCCAAAATAAACTTTTCTTCTATGTCATGGATTCAGATTCATCAGATGTTGAGCAGAATTAGAATGGGCAAAGAGTCACTGAAATGGGTTTGGCTTTGATCATAGCCATTTTAGCTGGGATGATGTGCCAGTTAATCATAACTGTCAACTCAACTGCATGAAGAGACTCCTGGAGAGATGAGGGGATTTGGGGGAGCACCATGTGCTAAATAGCTAAACGTACTCTTAGAAAGTGGGGTGCAGCTGGCAGAGATGGGTCTTTGGATACTATGGTTTGGATCTGAAACATCCCCTGACAGTCTCATGCATTTGGAAGGTGATTGGGGGGCACTATGCACATCAGTGAATCCATCCATTGATGAATTCAGTAGCTGAATGGAGTATGAGAGGGTGGGGTCTGCTGGGAGGAGGATCACTGGGGCCATAACCTGAAAGGGTGCATTCCTGTGCCTGACTGCCCCTCCCCGGCTTCCTGAATGCCATGGGTTAAGCAGTTTTTCTCCACCATGCCCTTCTGCCCCACCATTTCTCCCTGAGAGCCAGTTAACTATGGACTAAATTTGTAAGACAAAATAAATCCCTCCTCCTCTATATTGTGGGTGTCAGGTATTCCATCCCGGCAATGGGAAAGTAACTAATACCCCGGTGGCATACTTTCAGAGAGCATAGCTCTCACTGGCACTCTTCTCCTGTATTCTGTCTGCTTCCCAGATCCCATAAAGTGAGCACTTTTGCTCCATTCTGCCCTTCCACTGTTATGTTCCTGCCAGCTGACCATGGACTGAAACCTCTGAAGCCACAAGCCAAACTAAATCCCTCCTCACTTCAAATTTTGGGTGTCAGGTACTATGTCCCAGAGCAACAGGAAAGCTAATACATGTATCAAATGACAACAGCCACTGATTTCTTTGATAAAAATCAACATTTAAGACATTTAAGACACTAGAAGGAAACTAAACATAGCACAGACCCCCAATTAAGTGAAGGGAGGTGGTTGCTGGATTTGCAGACAAAACTGAAGTGATGTTCTATTGCTCCTAATCATCTGAAAACTAAATGAAAAGTTTTAAATCTGTGAGTTTTAGTAACACTCTACGCTATAAATAATGTTTTAGCTTTATATTGCTGTTATACAAATTACCAGAAGTTAAGCAGTCTAAGTAACACCCCATGTATCATCTCAGTTTTGTAAGTCAAAAGTCCAGGTCCACCGTCACTCAGCTGCTCTTTACCTAGAGTTTCAAAATATTGGAATCAAGTGTTGGCAGTGCTACCTTCATTTCTGGAGGCTCTGAGGAAAATTCTCTGATTTGGGCTGCTGATAGATTGGTTTTCTGCATTTTGGCTAAGATCAAATGTAGGTTGCTGATAGATTTCAGTTCTGTGTGGGTATAGGACTCAGGGCCATGTCTTGTCTGTTGTCCAAGAGTCCTCCTATTCTTTGAGAGGCCACCTGCATTCCCTGGTTTATGGCCCTCTTTAAAGCCAAGAGTTGGGTGGACCAAATATCTCTCAATGGTTTGAAATGCATAGGTTTCCTTCCTGCTTGTCTCCAATTAAAATCTCCATGAGATCACTTTCTACCTCTTAACCTTTTATTAAAAAATACATTTATTTTAACCTCGTATAACTGAATATAATCTAAATATAAAGTCTAATAAAAGTAGCCCATAAGACCTAATGAATTCATTCATAAAATAATCATAAGGTAGGTTAAAAAAATTATGATTAAGCACTCTCTAAACAAAGGAGTTGAACCACAATAAAATGTAACTCAATGTCAAGACAAAAGCACCACACTTTAATCTTTGCTAAATTAAATATAATTTCTCTGATGGCTAACACTACCATGTGATAAACTTCAATATCGCAAACCAGTTAATGTTACAGTGTGTATGTACACTGGAAATTACTGGAACCCAAAGAATTTGCCTAGTGTTCTGAAATGGCAATACTGGGCAATAAATACTGAGACCTATTATTTTATTAGCTTTTCTGGGTCATAAAAAGTGACCAAAGCATCCATAAAAAGCAATTGAGCAGGTCAGGGGCAGGAGGCTCCTGAACTCCTGGAGATTACTGGTAGAATGAATGATCTTTGCTTTTGTTTTGCTGTTGTTGTTGTTATTGTTGTTGTTGCTTAGGTCAATGAGATTGGGAAACTGGATTATAATCTGACAAAGCTTTGGAGCCAAAGAGACTTGGGTTGACCTCTCAGCTTGGCCAAAGCATTAAGTCTCTTAACATCTTAGTCCTTTTATATATGAAATGGAGGTGATGCTGCTGTCTGGAATAGCAGTTCTAAATATTAAACAAGCGGTCTTATATCTGTAGTTCTCAACTCTGACTACACTTTAGAATCACTTGGAAATTAAAATATAT